ATACTGAAAACTAATGAATTGTACCCATTAAAGGGGTTCATCGTATGGTATGTGTATTGTATCTCGATAAAGCTATTCAAATTTTAAAAAATAAATGTACTAGGAGTTTGGAACTAATGTGTTAGTATATTGACTTTTTAATTACATCCCACATTTTCAAAATCTTATTATTTTTTTCTTATCTTGGTGAAAATAGGACTGCAGTTGCTTTGGGAGTAGCATAGCCATTTACATTTCAAAATCTCTAAGGGCACAGTCAAAAACTAAAAGAAATTTCCTTCTAGTGTAAAATGTACACCCATGAGTTTTGTTGAACACATCTTACAGCTTACTGATTGGGTCGAAGAGTCCCTGCGCCCGGGTGGCTCTGTGGGATTCAAATTTCTCTGCAGAATCCAGTACTTAGGAGGTCATGGGATTCTTTAGCTGAAGCACCACATTTTGGGAGGTGGAGAAGGGATGGGTGGAAGGCTCAACGCTGTCAACAAGGATCAAAATGGAACCAAACTCTTTATTACACATGATGAGGTCAGTTTTAAATGGGTTTGTAAACAACGTCACAATACCCTGAGTGGCTTCACAGCCTGTGCCAACCCCCGACCTGGGGAGGACCTCAGATACTCTGGGTCCCAGTCCGGCTGGCTTGGGCGTCCCTCTTGCTCTGCAGAAGGTCATCGCTCCATCTGGAAATTGACTCCAATCTCCTTCGTACACCAGTGTCACCGCGTTCAGAAAGGAGCAAGAAGAAGACGCCAGGGCCCCTCTAGGAGCAAGAATACATTTTGTTCTGAGCAAAAGCCCTTGAAGGGATCAGGTCGCGCCCACAGGCGGCGGCTGGTTCTGTTAAACCGTTTGAACTCGTTCCCTGATTGTTACTCAGCAACAGGGAGGCAGGTCCTTGCGAACTGTCCAATTGGGCGCATTGGGGAGGTGCGTGGTGCGAGGCTCATAGAACATCGAGGAAGTTCCAGATTGCGTCTCACCTGCGGTTAACGGACCAGGTGTCTCTGCTGTATCCCCAATCTAATTCTAACCTGCACAGGCTGCGGGGACCGAAGGAACTTCGCCGGGGTGCCCCAGAAGCTGGGAAATGGTGAGTGTGCGGGGGCCTGTGTCCCAGGACGGGAATGAGGGCCTGGTTGGAACCGGCCAAGGTTCGATCCGGCCTACCCGGGATCAAATCTGGAGTCTGAGGACCTGAGTCCCCCTGGTGCTGCGCTCCGACCTCGGTCCCTTCTGCTGACATCTTGTGGGGCTGGGTCAGTAACCAGGACCCCGAGCGTCCTTTCTGGTCACTGCACGCGGCCTCACTGGTTCCAGCCGAGGAGCCTCTCTGTGTAGTTCTGTGTCTCCCCAGAATGCACAGTGACCACAGGGAGGGAAATCAGGGGACAGTCGTGACTCGTACTACCGGGTTCATGCATCGGAAGAGCTGTGGTCTGTGTGGTCCCCATCTCTCTGATTTTCCCAGCGGGTGCCCATTTTCTTCTGAGTTTTTCCAAAGTTTTGTGAAGTAGGATTTCAAATCCACAACCTTGACCCCCTCCCCATCTTCCTAGGACTGGCAATACATGCCTAAATTTCCAGATCCCTTCCCAAATTCCCAAACGCCAACTCTCCTCACCCATTCAAGCATTATAATTAACTATTAGTCCTCCAGGGTGCATTTCAAACAGACACTGTCTTGGTTGCTGGCGGGTTGTGCAAGTATTCACCAGGCACAAAGGAATAGACGAATTCTTTGTTTCTTTGAACAGTTTTGTACTTTCATAAATTTTCATGTTACTAATTACCATCCTTTCATTTCAGCTTGACGAAATCGCCATAGCGTTTCTTGCAAGGCAGGTGTAGTGGTGATGAACTCCCTGAGCTTTGGTTTGTTTGTGGAAGTCTTTCTGTTATTAATCGCCAAGTGACAGCTTTGTTGTATAAAGCATTCTTGGTTGGCAGTTTCTTTCTTTCAACACTCTGTATATCATGCCACTCTGACAGGTTTCAGCTGAGAAATGTAGAAATGGAGGTCCCCTTGTATGTGATGTGTCACTTTCTCTTGCTACTTTCAAAATTCTTTGTCTCTGTTGTTTGATAATTTGATTACAATGCATGCTAGTAAAGTCTTCTTTCAGTTCAACCTGTTTAGGGATATTTGAGTTCATGTACCTGGATGTCTATATCTCTTCCAAGACTTGGGAACTTTCCAGCTATTATTTCTTTACATTAGCTTTTTACCCAACTGCCTCCTCTGGAATTTCCATAATGTGTATATTATTTCTTTACTAGTGTACCCTAAGTCATGTCAGCTTTCTTCATTTTCTTTATCTTGCATCTGGATCATTTCAAATGATCAGTTTTCCAAGTTTGCAGATTTCTTTCATCTGATTCATTCAGTTAGCTGTTGAAACGCTATAACATTTCTCATTTCATTCGTTGTATTCTTCAAGACATGAATTCTGTTTGGTTCTTTATGAAATCTGTCTATCTGTTGAACTTCTCCTTTTGTCAGTGTATTATTTTCTTTCTTTTTTTTAGCTGAGCCTTCCTGCCACCTGTTGGCAGCTCAGGCTCGGAATGGAATCAGCAACCCTGTTGTTGCTCAGAGCTCGCACTCTTGAGCAAGCTCTTAACCAACTGAGCCACTCGGCCCGCCCCAGTGTATTATTTCCTTGATTTCGTTGAGTTGACTGTGTTCTGAGCTTCCTTAGAACAATTATTTTTAATTCTTTCTCAGGCATTTTGCAGATCTCCATTTCTGCAGGATAGGGTACTGGAAAATTAGTGTATAATTTATAGAAATATGTGCTTCCTCAATATAGCCTAAGACATTTTTTAACAGACCCAAATATCTTTAGTTATTATGTATTATGGAAACAAAAGTAGGTAAACTTAAATTTATTTAGTAATTAATGTGTTAGAATTTCATCTTATTTGGAAATGATCTGGCTATTCAATACTTTTCATCTTTTAACTTGGTAAACTCTAAGGTTTCAAGTTACCAAAAGGTTTTGGGAAACTACTTTTAGGTATACCTACCATAAAAAAATTGTTGTTGTAAACTTTCACTGTAAAACCTTTTATTCTATTTATGTCTATTTCATTTATTTATTTTTAGTAATTATATTCAGATTACATGTGAAAATTTTGTGGGACATTAGACAAGGTCAGTTATTATCTCAAGCTCTTTTCCTATTGACAAACTATGCAACAGAGATAACATGAACATTTTCTTATGTAAACCCAGATAAAATAAAAATATATTAAATGTGATAACTCCAGAGACTGTTTTAATTAAACCTAACAAGTTGGTTTTGATATTAAATATTTTCTCAGATCACATGATATTAAACAGCATTTGGGGTAGTTTCTGTTATATTTCTTAATTTACACAAGTATTTGATTCCTGTAAGCCAATTAAGAGAGCACTTTAAAAACAATTTTATTAATCATCTGGAGGTAGACATACATACATATATATATACACAGACATATCCAGAGACCTGATAGTTTTTTTCTGTTTTATTTTTATCATGAGACAGGTATAATAAGGCCATTAATTCACAACAGTTAGAATAATTTAAGTTTATCATTCAGATGGCTAAGGCTTTTACTTGTTAGAGAAGACACTTAATATTTGTATTTGTCCTTTACATACACTTTTTAAGAGACTGTCGGGGGCAGGGGCTGGCTGCCTAGGCAAGGGATTCTTCCCATACACTTGTGCTTGTAAAAAGCTTTCTCATTCCCCCATCCCCTTTTTTTTCACTTGGTTTGTTTAGTCTCAGGCGGTTATTTCTGATTAGGAAGGTCCTGGAAATTACTAAGGATGCTTACAAATCCTGTCAGATTTAATTTTTTTTTTTTAAGATTTTTTTGGAGAATTGGAGGTGGGGAACAGTGCTGGAGAATAAGGGGAAGGAGAACAGACAAGTTGCTGTCCTTTTGTTCTTCAGTCTAGTTGTGGAGGACGCCGCTTCACTGGCCGGTGTTGGTATTATCATTGTACTCTTCACGGGTGAGGCAGATCACTCGCTAGCCTCTGGATGGCGGCTCACGATGGATCTTGGCAGCTCACACCAGCTGCTGGCTGGCTGCTGGCCACACAGGACAGCTTATGGCAGCCCACTGCACTAGGGGCTGCAGCCTACGCCATCGCTGGCGACTCACTGCAGCCCAGCTCCAGGTCGAGCTGTTGTTCACCATCTTAGCTATAGAGGGCAGTGTCACTGGCCCTCATGTGGGATCCGAACCAGGGCTCTGCTGCTCAGAGCTGGCATCCCAAGCCAACTCTTAACCAACCTGCAATTTGGCCAACCCAGATTTAATTTTTCTTAAAAGTTTTTATCATAGAGTTATTAAATGTTTTGAAACATCTTGTTAGCTTTCATGCAGGAGAAACAAAAAATATTTTAAAGCACCTGCTCAGATTGCCAGTTTATTTTAGTATACGTTGAGAGCTCTTTTTTGTTTTTAAATGCTTCTGCTTATCAGAAAATACATTCTATTGTGTCTGTGAGGTTTGGATTCGTTGTGACAGATGCTGAGGTCACATTAAGTGTGCCTATTTCTGAACAAGGGTAACAGTTTCATGTGTGGCCTGACAGCCTTGCACCAAGCCCTTGCTTGACCTGTAGAGCGCATAAGACCATTGTGCTCTCATGAGGCCTGGCCTGGGCTACCCTGTTGTCCGTATTTACAATACTTGCTTCACTTGGAAACTCAATCAGGACTTCGCTGTGCACACCTGTGCCCAGGTGTTCCCAAAGAGCTGGGTGAATACAGTGGAGTAAGCCCCAGGAGAGGAAAGGTCTTGTTTAGATTCAAACGTGCCAGGGAGAGACTGGATCCTCCAGAGGCCAAAGAAGCTGGTTTAACTGAGCCCCTCCTTCTCCCTCCCAGTGTCAATCAGGGAGGAAGGGGGTGTGCATGGATTTCTGTCCAATCAGAGGTGGAGACGGGCCAGGTGGGTGGGGCGACGCAGTGGGACACGACACTGGCGTGCGCGTCCCAACTCCGGTCTGGATTGTGACAGCCCTGGTTGTGGGAGTCGTAGGAAGGGTCAGGGAGACCCAGGAAACCTAGAAATGGTGAGTGTGCTGTCCCGGGTTGTGGAGATGGGGACGAAGGGCTGATTGGAACCGGCTGGAACGGATCGTGGCCTCCTTGCGATCAAGTCCGGAGTCTTCAGTCAAATCTGAAGTCTGAGGACCCGAGTCCCCCGGAGGCCCTGCGCTGCACGTTTCTACTCCCTTCCAGCTGGCAGCGTGGGACCTGGGCATGGAGCTGGGACCCCGGTCGTCCTGTCTCGTCACTGCACCGGGGACTTGGCTCCGGCCCGGGAGCCTCTGTGGGCAGCTGTGTACTTGCAATCCCGCGCCTCCCCAGGTGGTGCGGTGACCACATGGAGGGTCATCGCAGACAGTGGTGACTGGGGTTTCGGGTTTCCTGCGTGGGAGCAGATGTGGTCTGTGGGGTCCCCAGCTCCTTCTGCTTCCCCAGTGGGTCCCCGTTTCCCCCAGAATTTTCCAGTGTTTAGGGAGCTGGGTCTCAGGTCCACGACCGGGTCGCTGCAGCCTGGCTGTTCCTGGGACTGGCAACAAGTCCCTAAATTTCCAGATCCTTCATTCCCTAAGCCAGCTTCCCTTTTCTGAGTCACAGCATCATTATCAACTGTTTGTCCTCAGGGATGCATTTCAAACACACCGATATTTTAATTGCTTGTTTTTTTTTCCTAGAGCCATGCAGAGGCTAACTATAAATTAAAGATATATAGTTGTCTGGGATATTTTACATGAGAGGAAAGCGGACAATAACCACCTGGAAGACAGCTCTGTGAAATCCCTGTTCCTCTCCCCGCAGGACCTTCCCTGGGCACAGACATCCTATGGGGAGGCCTTTGGGTGAAGGTTGTTTGGAAACTTTCCTGGGTGTCCTCTCCTGTTAGCTTTACCCCTCTATTGGTATGTTGCTTGAAAACATTTAAAACCTTGGATTGCGAGTAACGTGGTTTGTGAGTAAAGTGGTTTGCGAGTGTTCCGCAAGATGAGCTAACATTTCTAATACATTTTAACGTGGTAAAAGAGCGATGTCTTGCAATATGAGTAGTTTGTTTCCAGAACGAATTATGCCCGCAAGCCAAGGGATTACTGGTTTGTGTATTTACTTACTTGTCATTTTTTTCAGTAGGTATAAAATGTATTTAACCAATAGAGCTTGAAAAACAATACAAATAGTTTCAAAGAGGTACTAAAGAAGTGAATTCTGAAAAGATAAAATATTCCAGTATCACCTTCCGTTTTTAGAGACTTCTTATTTTACTCCTTCTTCCTGGGCATGTGTAGGAAGTTTCTGAGGTTTATTTTATTTTGGGTGCTTTAAAATGCAGTGCTGTGGCTTCACCTTGCACAGCAGAATTGTTGAAATATGTTAAGAGAAACACTACAACCCTGGAAATGGGGGTGCAATACAGGTGTGTGTATGGGGGGCTTTTTCTGAAATTGTGGTTATTATTCCTTAGACCTAAACAGTTTGCATTTAGAGTGTAATTCGTGCTCATTGGGAAAGTGTGACAGTCAGGTGGTCTGTGTCCTGGGTTAGGGTTCGTGAATTTGAGAGTTCATTTGGATCAGAACCTTAACTTGAATTGGGCTTTGAGTTTCCTCACTGAGAATGGAAGCCTGGTGGAGCGAGTGCTTCCATGCTTACAGGATGTGGGGGGGTCGGGGGGAGCTGTGTGTGGAACTTCCAGCCTCCATTCCTGGGGCTGCTCTGGTGTCCCCCACCTCTTTCATGAGGGAATGACTCCCACCCCCCGGGGTCCTGTCTCAACTGGGGGTGTCTAGACCCACGTTTGTGGTTATGTTCAACTTTCTGAATATGGGTTTTGTTTTTTGTTTGTTGGTTTTGGTTAAGTGTAGGGAAGCAGGCTGATAATCTCTTGATTCCACTATTTGTTTCCTTTCTTTGGATTTCTTTCTCCAGTGAATATTGCAGCTCTTTGAATCTAGTTTCCATTAGCACCCCGGGCTTTCAAGATGTAAGTTCATCGAGTGATACCTTATGAGCAAGGCAAGAAAATAGTGGAACCAACTAGAATTTTGGTTACATTAGGCAAGAAACCTCAAGATGTGAGATGTTTAAGTTCTTATTTTTTAAGTTCTCAGTTTTTTCATTCAGCATTTTTATGTCAATGTCTGTAGACAACTATGACATTGAAAAGACTTTACTAGGGGCCGGCTGAGGGGCTCAGTTGGTTAACAGCACAAGCTCTGAGCAACAGGGTCACTGGTTCGATTCTTACATGAGCCAGTGAGCTGCGCTGAGCTGAGCTGAGCTGCCGCTGAGCTGCCAATGGGTGGCAAAATGGTTCAGTTGGTTAGAGCATATGCCCCTAAAGACAAGGTTTCCGGTTCGACTCCTGCATGGGATGGGGGGCTACACCCACCTGCAACTAAGATTGAGCATGGCACCTTGAGCTGACCTGCCCTTGTAAGGATCTCGGCCCGGACCCTAGGCCAGACAGACTCACGTTAAAAATTATACTTCAGCTACTCCCATAGACTCTAAAAAA